TGGCCTGCTGTGTTCATCCAGCTCTACGCCTTGTTACCCCCATTACTAATGCTCCTCTGCTGTGCAGCAGAGCCAACCATGGTGCCACAAACTTGACTGTCACTGTTTTCCCTTGAGAGGCCATTCCACCCAATACGATCCAATACTGTATATCTGTTGATAGAGAGATGACCACAGCGGACTCCTACACAACCTGTCTATGCCTTCTTGTCTGTCTAGTTGGTCACCCAATACGTTTCTATTGTTTTAGCCCTTATTTGTGGTGTGACAAGCTCGCTAAACGTGCCCTCCATGATGTCCTCAGTATCACGAATGCGCCCTAGCGAGTCCACACGTAGCTCCAAACGCCCTATACATTCACTCGGGAGCCGCAACTGAACACACTTCCTACATTAGTCGGTCACCATGGATACTCGAAGCGTGCCTGATTTCCCACATATTGCCGGAGGAAGATTCCACGGGGCCGAGTTCTCCTGCTATTTTGAATCCCACCAGTTGCAAAGAATAAGCTAGGAGAAAGTCACTCAACCCTACCCGCCACTCACCAAATCAGATTTCTCGCTCCTTCCCTCTATTCCTAACAAACCAATAGCCACAAAATAAGCACTTTACACTCTGTCTCCCACCCGCTACTACTAACTCAGTCCCTAAAGCTGGCTTCTAAGCAAGCAATCTTCTTGCCCTTTTTGAACCTTGATACCATCTCAAGAGCTCTGCTTCTAAATTCAATGAAGGTTCACCCCTCTCCTCATCCTCTATTGTGACGATTGAGCTTGATCTGGGCCTCGCCCCTCAGCCTTTAATTCGGAAGCTCCGCTACCACGGTCCGCGCCTAAGTTCGGTCCGATCCACTCCCGCTGTTGCTCCATTGAGCTTTCTTGGCGTGTGTTCCTTCCTACTACCTCCTCTCCCCATAAAAAAGAATTGCAGTACTGCAATAACGGCCGCAACATTGTCCCTTCTGGAGCAGCATGAACAGGCAATGCGCTCATTGCCCCCTACAAATATGGCGGCCGTTTCCCAGAGCCTCTCGCCGGGAAAGATGTTACTCCGATTGGTGCAAACGAGAACCCGATTACTTATTTCTAAATTAGGGTTTGCCGCGGATACAAAATGTTTACGAAGCCTCTCGGTCCAACTGCCTGACTGATGGTCTCCTCCGTTCCGCTTCATTGTTACCTTTTATGCAGCCGAGAAAACGACAGCTTTCCCTCGGGATCATGTACAATGATTGTCAATTCTGTGACTAGGGGAGCGTCCTCGTCGCTCCGAATTTTGGGTAATATTTTCGCCATTATTATCTTAAGTTATTAATTATTTTGCTTTAATGAGAAACTCGGCCAGGCACTCAGATTTGTAGGACATAATGGGATTGATATGAAGGGATTGCTAGGGCTATTTTATAGGGGTTATTGGGGGTGGGTTAAGGGGGCGGATATGGTCGTTCGTAGGGGGAATGGTATGGGAGACGGGAGGAAGGGGTGGGTGGGTGAGTGGGGGAGTGAGTGAACGACGCAAAACGGAGGGAGGGGCGTGAGATAGAACACGAAAGGCCAGGAGAGAGATAAAGGGGAGCATGACCGGAAGAGACAAATGCGACATGGCTATGGAGAAAGGAAAGGAAGTGTGGAAGAACCGGTCAAAACGGCAAACCCGTCGGAGGAAGGGCCTAGGCCCGAAATGTCAGCCGTCCCGCTCCTCCGATGCTGCTTGGCCTGCTGTGCTCAACCAGCTCTACACCTTGTTATCTCTGGCCTTCTAATATGCTATGTGACTGTACAATTCCATTGCCAGATCAATGTCTGTGCAAAATTGCTAAATATACCACCAGACTGTATCTTTGCATAACAAATCCCTAAACTGTGTAATTGAACAGTTTGTCATACAAGCCAAGCCAGTGTAGTTTACTTTCCTCTGGTCTAGTGGTTATTGAAGTCATCTCATGCATGAAAGTGGAGGTGGGTTTGAAACTTGACAAACTCGATACTAATAGGTTTTAACCTTAGTGTGAAGAAAAGATCAATAGTTTTTCTTTAATTAACTGAATATAGTATCCCATCTTGGATTAATTCCTTCCCTCTGTACACAATACTGACCTTCGCACACTCCTGCTTTCAGCCCTTACAGTTCAGAAAAGTCTGCTCAAGCATGCTGATGTCTACTGATTTTTGGAAGATTTTTAAAGGCTCCTGCAGTGATATCTGTCAAAATAGTTTTTCAAAACCATACTTCAGACAGTGTAAGAAATGCACTGATATTTTCTTTCCCATGTCAACAGTGACTGAGACAGGAACATGCAGTTGGGTTTTACCCCTCACTCTCCAAACATCTGGTGGTGACTACAGTTTAATTAACATGTTACTGCCCATCCCTGGGATGCAAGTAACTTCAACCAATTCAAAACCTCCAAATATAACAAGCACTGCTCAGGAAAACTCAGGGAGATTATATCCCAAACACTAAATTATGAGTAGCATTTACACAATACTCAAATGATTAATACCTTCTTTAAGCTTCAATCAGGGAAACTCAGCTTTACAACTTGAGAAAAATTGCTCCACACAAATCTGTTTTGAACACTCTCCAGCTCATAATATCCATACTGTAACTGGGTGACCAGAAGTGGACAAAGTATTCCAGAGGAGGCCTCACCAATGTCCTGTACAACCTGAACATGACTTCCCAACTGCTATATTCAAAGGACTCAGCAATGAAGGTAGGCACGCCAAATATCTTTTTAACCACCCTGTCTATATGGGATGCAAACTTCAAAGACTAATGTACCTGCACCCCTAGGTCCCTCTGTTCTACAACACTACCCAAGGCCCTACTATTAATTGTATAAGCCCTACCCTTGTTTGTTGTTCCAAAATACAATACCTCACATTTATCCAGATTTAGATCCCTCTGTCATTTTCAGCCCATTGAACCATTTGATTAAGATCCCTTTGTAATCTTAGAAAATCTAAACTAGGACTTTTTTTTCACTGGAGTATAGGAGGTTGACAGGCAACCATCTAGAAGTTTATAAAATAATTAGAGGAATAGATACAGTTAATGGTAGTTGTCTTTTCTCTAGAATAGGGGATTTCCAGACCAGGGGGCACATTTTTTAAGATGAGAGGAAAGAGATTTAAAAAAGCCATGAGGGGCAAATTTTTTACACAGTGGTGGTTTGTGTTTGGAATGGACTTCCTAAGGAAGTGGTGGATGTGGGTGAAATGACAATGTTTAAAAGACATTTTGATAGGTACTTGAATAGGAAAGATTTTGGAGGGATATAAGCCAGAAGCAGGCAGGTGGGACTAGTTTAGTTTGGGATTATGTTTAGCCTGGACTGGTTGAAGGGTCTGTTTCCGTACTGTATGACTCTACAACTATGAATGTTTCTTCTCGTATAAAAGGACTAAAATCCTTAAATTTGGAAATGGCTGCAGAAGGGTATTTCTGTCCTTAGAACCTTTTGAACCAGCTCTTAAAATCCAGTTGGCAAAATGAGTGGAGGTTAACTTTCAAGAGAGTGCATCAATTAGTTGACTGTTACTCTCCAGGTTTGCATTTCCTAGTGTTCAACAGAAACGATAGGAAGCAGATTAGTATTCATTCACTGTCTCACAGAATGATTGAAAGTAATACAGGGGCTCCTTTAAAGATAAGGATATTATTATAATAATTAATATTAAAATATTAACATTGAATATTCAATTCCAGAACAAGTGCTGAAAATGGATTGCAATATTTAGAAAGAGTTCAGCTGAGAAGTCAAAGATGTGAATGATGGAATTGGCGATTGAGAGGAATGAATTGGAACTTTGTGCCATTGTTTGATGGCCTTCTTCAGCATGAAATTCAGAACAAACTGAGGCACCAACTGAAAACTGACAGTTATCTCCCTGTGTTATGGAGGGGACATGGGGTTAATTGTACCCGGCTAGGTCATTTGGTACAGAATGAAATTCTCAAAGCCAGTGTCGTAGGTTCAAGCCTCACATTAGGTGGATAGTTTTTTTTAGGTTATTGTTTTCAAGAGTGGGGTCCAGATCTCCATTCCTCGAGTTTCTTAATTCTCAAATTAAATCTGACTGCATCCATTTCACATGAGAAGAAGCATTCATGCACAGGAAACTTCCTCAAGTTGTATCAGCTCAGGTTTCAAGATTTAATATCAAAGGAGTTGTCGCCCATGAATATATTGAGATTGGAATCTTAATCCAGTGCTGTTAGACTGCACGGCCACACTCCCACACCAACAGTGCTGTTCTTGATAGGTTTAACTACTATTTCCACTGCAATAGAACATGGAAAAAGGAGCAGGAATCAGCCATTAGGCCCTGCAAATCTGTTCTGTTACTGAAGTCCACGAAGGATTACCCAAATCTTGATCACCCATTGCTTCCCAAACTCTTTTTCTTCCCCATTGTGCACTATTTCAGAGTTTGAAAATTGCCATGACCTCTTAGTGAGAATTTAGAGAGTGGGTTGGGGAGCTGTGAAAGCAGAGGACTGTTCAAGAGGGAACAAAGCTGTAAGAACTTGGTTGGAGCTCCACACTGCCATAACTCTGTCAGAGCTCAAGACCCCAAACTTTCAGCTTGTGGTGCAAACCTCCACTTTCAACGTCCCTGTGAAAGCTCTTTATTCATTTACAATCCAAAAGTCTCTTCATCTCAGACTTTTACATCAGCTGAGAATCCATAGCAAAACACTGAGGATACTAGAAATTTGAAACACACAGGAAATTGTAGAAGAAACTCGGCAGGCCTGGCAGTGTTGGCGGAGAGAGAAACAGAGTTCACGTTTCGAGTCTGCTATGACTCTTCAGAACCTGATAAGACTCAAGAGACATGGAAAGGAATTGAAAAGCCTCACCATTCTGTGAGATCATTTCACTCTGACAGACAGAAATAAAGTAAAGGAAGTCAAAGAATTAATCAGAGCCTTTCACCATTTCTTGTCAAGACTTTATAACCATTCCAATACTTTTGCAATTTAGTCACTTACAATTTAATGACAGAAAATTTGATGAGAAATATTGATTCAACGGATGATGAAATAATCTTAAGAACTATGTCTCAATACAATTTATTTTCTGTATCTCTAAACATTGCATCCAAATTCAGAATATACGGATCTCCAGCTGAGTGAATAAATTTCATCTTGAATCTCTGACAAAACAAGGCTTTCCATTTCTATCAGGTTGTCTCTCAGCCATCTCTCTTCTACAGAAAATAGCTTCAGGATGTTCAAACTTTCCTGGGGATGCTAATCTACCTGTTCCTGTAACATTTATGATTGAACTTTTAATTTCATATTCCTTTTGAGACCTGAAGGCAGCTGAACATTTGTAATGTCAGACAAATTTCAGTTTGGACTATTTGTATTTATAAATTCATTCTCACGATGTGTCTGTTTACTTAACCACTTGACCAAAGCAACTCAGTTTCTGTGTTTAAATATCACTCGGTGAAAATTTCAACCATTCTCCACTTTATAACAAATAGGCACTTAGTGGAACAGTCTCCACTCAAACCAAAACAGAATGAAAATTCTTCATTTACATTTTAGATTTGCTACTTTTCCTCCTGGATTTTAAGATATAGCCACACAATTAATGTGAATAAAGATTGATTTGTAGCAATAGAGAACTGAATTGCATTAACATCCACAATGGAAAATACACAGACATATTTGGATGAGCACTTAAAATATCAGAACATTCAAAGCTATAGGCCAAGTGCTAAAATGTGGAACGACTATGGAGTTAGAATTGTTTTTGTTACTACAGGGTCAATGGGCCAAAGGGCATTTTCTGTACTGTATGGCTCTATGACACAAGCAAAGAAAAACACAGAGAGATGGAGCAATTGTAGGTGATCAATCAGGAGTGATACGCATCTGTGGAGACAAGACTTTTCAGTCATTACCACCTACAAGGAGCCTTGCATTACTAACTCTACAGTCAATTCACCTCTGATTCCTGGGAAATCACTCTGGAATCTCTTCGAGGCCAGAAGTCTACACTGAGGCCATGCTAGGCCGAGAGACTACCACGATGAGCCGAGAGAACACCACGCTGGACTGTGGCATTATAAAGGGAATGACATAGTTATATGGTTATGATTTGCGGAGTTACTGGAAGAGGATTGGGGAGTGGGACAAAGTGAGCCGCTTGTTTGGAGAGCTGTCGCACTCAGGATGGGCTGAATAGCCTCCTGCTGTAGTAGTAGTTTTGTGATTCTGAGATTAATCAGATGAAGGTCCTGGCTCTTTGCTGTAAACACCACATTCAGCTTGGGTTGGTATGGCTAAACGTTCTGTTTCCATGCCACAGATTCTATTCTATAGGTAGAAGATGGCCCTTTGAGCCCATTCCACCATTCAATAAAAACACAGCTGATCAGAG